TGGCAGGGGCCAAGGCGATAAAGCCCTCGAGCAAGGAGAGCCACGGCTGAATGGATGCGTTTAAAAAGAAAATATACTCGCTGCAGTTACGCACAGCAAATACATAGCTGGATTATCAAAACGGCACCAGCAAAGCCACTCCATCTAAAAGGAAATATAAAGAGCAGCCATAACGTCATATCTAAATGCAAAGAATCGGCCGTCACAAGCCCTTCCCGCCAGCCATGACATTACATTATAGTCACAAATCCACCGGATGAATAGGATGTTAGCGAGCATCAGCGGGGCTGTTATTCAGAGTGGCCGGCGTTTGTCGTCGGCTATCCATTTATCGGCCCCCGGCCGTCGGTCGGCGGCGGTCGCCACTGACAGCGGTATGCCAATAACTGGCGGCCACTTTGTCCGCGCCGGGGGAGCGGCCATCACGCACAACCCCGCGCCGGCCGAATACGCGGGCGCGGCGGCCAATCGCGATAAATCGCGCCGCTATGACACCCGTTCTGACAGGCGGTGCCACAACTCCTCCTCAGACACAATCCGAGCGCCGTTGCCAATTTGCTCGGTGCCGTTCCGGCCGCTCGTTGTGGCCGATATACGGAGCCGTGTATTCACAGCAGTATGCATAGCGGGCCGATCGGCGGCAGCTGCCGGCAGACGGCCGACGCAATAACACATCATCGTCCGTCACCGGGATACGGTTTAATCGGGCTCGGCGACAGGCCGCGGGAGATACGGGCCGCCGAGGGCCACGGATACACAGTTGACGGGGCGATACCGGAGCATCGCGCCGTGATCGAGAGGCGCGCTCTGACGGCAGAAATGGGCGGGTCGGAGGCCGCATAACCGTAACCATAATCCGTCGGAGAGCAAAGATAACGGCCTGGCGCAGTTCGTAACTGAACAGAAAGGCAATCGCATCAGGTATGAAATCTGAAGACGATATAATACGGCATGGTTTCTTGGCTTTAGCTTTGATAGCTTGGCTATCAACGAATATATAGGGTGTTCACTAAAAAATGGGACAATATTCTGTGCGCTGTCAGTTGAAAGTGCGTCTGGATAGATTACTGCATTTTAGTGCACGTGGAAAATACAACATTTTTAACACATGACCGCGCTTGAATTCATTTTTGATCAGCCCCCAGACAAAATGGACGGGTTAACAGGCAGACAGCGAAGGGAGCTCATTGGCACCTTTTATAAAGAGCACTGGTCCAAAGGGAAGTCATTTACTTACAAACACTTCCAAAAGATGGGAATTTCGAAAACAACACTGTATCGCGTCATGGAAAAGCTTGATACAGGGGACTCCCTTAGCAGGAAGCCGGGAAGTGGTCGGAAGGCGAAAAAAATGACCCCAAAAGAGATCTTAAACCTACAAAGGTACATGAAGGAACACATCGGCGCCTCACAGCGAAAGGCTGCACGGAAGTTTGGTGTAAGCCTCAGCTACATCAGCAAAATACTTAGCACTAAGACGAAGTTACGCTACAGACGTCGAAAGCGTGTTCCGGCGGCCACAGAGGACCAAAAAATAAAGCAGAAGACCAGGTGTGGCAAGCTTCGAAGGAGCGCTATGAAGCCCACCAACAAAACTCAAATTATCATGGACGATGAGTCATATTTCCCTATGAAAGGTCACAGTCAGCCGGGAAATGTTGGATTTTATACAGATGATGCATCTGGAGCCGGGGATGGTGTGCGGTTCGCCACAGTGGAGAAGTTCACGCCAAAAGTCATGGTTTGGGTGGCCTTTTCTGAACACGGGCTGAGCAAGCCCTTCATCATGGAGAGTGGCGCAATGAACGCCTACGTCTACCGCACCCAATGCCTACCGAGGCTCAAGGAGTTTGTAGATGCCAACTACCGTGGTAAAAAGGTTATTTTCTGGCCAGATCTCGCTCCGGCGCACTACCAGAAGGACGTCCTTGCCACCCTCGAAGAGCTGAAAATACCTGTTGTGGCTAAGGAGGATAACCCACCAGCGGCACCACAAATCCGCCCCATCGAACGACTTTGGGCTCTCCTGAAGTCACGTGTGTACGCTGGTGGTTATGAAGCAGAGACCAAGAAACAGCTGACCAAGCGAATCCGCCGCCAAATGGCTGCCATTACGGCGGACACGTGCCAAAAGCTATGGAGGCGCACGCGGACAAAGATCCGCTTTGTGGCAGACAAGGGGAACACAGGCCTTCGAGAGCTGTAGAGTTCGAAAGAGGAGAAGAAGGATAATGTAGTGGTGCTGAACTTGTTTCACTGGCGTGATTTTTTCACGAAATACACACGAAACAAATTTGTCCCATTTTTTAGTGAACACCCGGTACCTACTAGTTAAAATGGTCAACAGTGTTCCTTACCATCGCATAGTCAACAGCAAGGTTAACTGCTAGAATGTTGACAACATGAAAGCGGAAATGTCGAGTGAAGTCATTTTAATGTATAACTTTGGGAAAGTACTCGTGATTCAAAGTGTCTGCAATGCAATTGGCTGGTCCAACAAAAATCATTCGACTGCGCATTGTGTCGCAGTCATTGCCTACTGGAGCCCCGAGTCACTTCCCCCTCACACCTATCACTCGCACCACTGCCTGAGCCAGCCTGCGGAGGTCCCGTGTGCGGGGCGGGACCCGGCCCGACCAGCCGGGGTCGCAGATAACCCCGCGTCGGCGGCGGCGCTCCCCGTGCGGCTCAGCGCGGCGCGTGGCCGACGGCGGCCTGTCGGTGCCGACGCAGTTTACGGCGGCCGGCCGGCGCGGCGCGGACCGCCGCCGGCCCATTAGTATGGTAATGCGCGATAGCGTCTGGCCGCCGGACTATATCGCCGCTGGGGAGCCGGGTCGCGCGGCGCCGCCGGCTCGGCGGCCCGTGATCCCGGTGAGCCGTCCGGCGCGGCCGATCGCGCGATGACACCGGCCGCAAAGCCGGCCGATTCACGCCGCTGAAAGCCGCCAGTCGTTAGCGCGTCGGCGGCTTAGCGCAGCGCTATCGGCGCGCGCCGCCTTTTTGTGGTGCGCGGCGATAATTGGCCGTGTGGCGGGGCGCCTCCCGGGTCCGCCGGGACGCCCGGGCCGGCGCCGGCGCCGATGACGGCCGTGTCGAACGCGGCGCGGTATTCATCGTCGGCGGCGGGCGCGGCGCGTGGACAGCGCCAATTACCGCCCCCGCCGTGCCGTATTAGAGATGCGGGCGCCACCCGGCCAGACAGTGACAGGCCCACAGAGGCAGACGGAGGCCCACAGAGACGGACGGAGGCTGACGGAGGCCGATGGAGGCGGACTGGGCCGATGGAGGCGGACAGGGACTGGAGGCCGACGGGCTGATGTGGGATGACGAGCTGATGAAGGTTGGTATGGGATGACGAGCTGGTGCAGAGCCTGACAAACTGACAGAACCTGAAAGACTGATAATCACAGGGCACCCAACGATCAATTGTATACTGACGGGCTGAGTTACGGATAGCAGGCTAGCTGACGGTTGGGGACAGCGCCTGACAACGGACTAGCACCGGCTGAGAGCCGCTAACGGCGAATGCTATCACCCGAAATGTCGGCTCAGGGCTGCATTGCCGGCGGCTGATTGAATGGAGATGGTTCTTGACAGAGCAGCGGAATGTGGTCGGCAACTGAAGGAATGCTACACCAAATGACAGGAACTGTGAGAGACAGGTAACTGTAGTAAGAAAGACATAGGGTAGAACCTAGACTGACCATTCGACAGGATACCGCAGTTCAGCCAGCAGAGCTCAGCGGGAGATCCATCACACGGATGGGACCTCGAGGAGCGTACCAGGACGCACAAGCACGACCCATTACACCACGCACCCGCCGGAGCTCAAGGTGCCCCGGTGGCAGTCCTTGGTCGTCTCCCGAGCGGTCCCGAGCGAGACATTGTGAGGGCTGGCTAGCGACTGACAGACTAGATTCCAGGAAGGCTGCTCAGTATTGACTCCGGGACCAGAAGACTCGACCTCTCGGTCCGTCTCGGAGGCAGCGGGTCCCAAGCCCGCCGAGACCCATTGACCAGCACCCACTGGAAACTGCCCCGTGAGCCCCGCCGGCCAGAGGCCCACAAACGGGCGGACAAGGCACACTGGCGACGGGGGCAGTTTGTTGGTGGTGGTGGTGACCGATAACAGAGCTACATGACCGAAACATCGCTAACTAAATGTGCGATGTAGCTTGCACACTTTTCCGTAGCAGAATTTCACTGATGAAAAGCTTACTGCTTTCTTCTATTTCAATTACTATGATGACAATTGGGAATTCACAAAAAAAAATCGTGGTATTGCTGTTTGATTCGCAGGGAAGGTTTTGAGCTTGAAAAGTAGTTTAGCGGTTCAATTATTCATAAAACGTACGAAATGGCCAATAAGTGAAATAAAAATGCAGATTTGGCAATGGCTCATCAGCTAATGGTGTCCTTAAAACGATGATAATCACATAAAATTGGTAATGAGCCAGCTACCGCCGCTTGAAATGCAGTTGCGTTCAACTACCGAAAAGAACGTAGGTACCTTAAAATATCACGCAATAAAGTTAAATTCCGTCGCGTCCCGTCTGACTTGTAAGTCGGGCGGATCGCAGCCTGGCCTCTCGCGATCCAGCTGACTAATCTGTTGCCCACCCGAGTCGCGAATCCGCTGTCCACCCGAACCGTGGCCAGAAACGCCGCTGCTTCCCAATGTCGGTGGGCAATCGCCAGACCCACGACAGTCCAGGAGACATTGACGGTAGGCTGGTCATGGTCGAATGCCGGATGGAGGTCGCCTGACCCATGCAGCTCGTCCACGCATAGCCAGCCCCATTTATGGCACAGGGACACGACACACATACAGCACATAAACGCTGACCACTGGCCAGTCACGCAAAACCGTTGCAAGCAGGCATCACCTTCAACGAGCACACAGCAGACACCCACCGAACACACCCACCCAGCCAAGGACGGGCCCCGTCCCCCTCTAGGCTCTGCTGACCCATCCCTCCGGATGCCGCGGTACTCACTCCTGGCCCTGGCCTCCTCGGGGCTGGAGCGGTCCGACGCCGTGCTGGCACGCTCCTCGTCGTCGGCCGGCCGGCGCGCCGCCGTCGCCGTCGACGACACCTCGCCGTACTCGCCCGTCGGCTCCGGCTTCGGGTCCCGTTTCGCCGGCGAAAAGAACTTCCTGTCGAACGGCGCGGCTGCGGCTGCGGCGGCGGCGGCCGCGGCGGCTGCAGAGGTCACCGGGTGGAAGGCCGAGCCGGCGAACGGCAGGCGCGGGTCCATGCCGGCCGGCAGGAACGGCGAGCCCAGGAACAGAGGACCGGACAGCGAGGGAAAGTCGAACGAGGAGCGCAGCGCCAGCGGGCCGCCGCCGAACGCGCCGCCGCCGTACTCCTTGCTGTCAGCCGCCTGCCGGGGTGGAGGGGCAGGGTCAGTCTCCTGGGGGGGGGGGGACGCTCCTACTCATTACTGCCAGCCGCCTGCCGGGGACTCTCATTCTCCACTTTTTTTACGCGATGTAGGATGGCTGGGCAAAACCACACAGCATACGGATAATGTAGTACAAAAGACCGGCTAATCTTCGGGCGTGCACGTCAACGCATCACTTCTTCGAGCGCACCAGGGCGTATTATAAGGGATCTTCACTGGGTCGGCAATCACAATTAGGGGCGGCATTTTGCACTCATAGGGGCGGCACTTGGCATCTGAGGGGGGCGGCATACCTACTGATATTTAATGACCAAAAAAGTCATGTTCGACGGTTCTTTTATAAATCTTTCTAAGTAATGATTTCAGATTCAACCTAAGCTCAGCGGTATTACGTTTATTTTTCCGGGATATAGTATTTCTCTCATCATAATGCGATAAATGAACTATAATTTGACTACAAAAAATAATTTTAGAATTCTAACTGAGGTCAAGTTCATGACCTCACCAGAAATAAAACATGTTGCATACCAGTCGATCCGTATCGTCAGCTTAAAATATTCACGGTGTTTTATGGCTCTATCTAGAACAGTGGTCAGCAGGTCGCACGAGTGGTGCCCACTTTATGGGCGCTGGACGGGGCCATTACCCCCACTTGTCATACCCAATTGCTTACACGGCAAGGGTCGCTGATATTCGGCCATATCCTTTGACGCCTCTATTTTTCTGCATAGGTATAAATAAAATGCAACACAATTAACTCTCTTTTTTATGGAGAGGGAGAGCGGGTGGAGTAAGGATGAACTCGTACATTTTTTATTTGTTAATTACTCGCGTAATGTACAGCGTATTGCAACGATACGTTCATCCCTCCCCCCCCCCCCCCCCCCACCAAGTAAATGAATGTTATACCTAACTACTCAAACATTTTCGTGACCCCAGTGACATTGTCATTGAGTTTTTGAAATTTGAATGACCTTCACTCGGTAACTTCTCTCCGGCTCGGCCGGCGGACAAAACGCAAGCGAACAGGGGCGTCGCCACGGATTTTTGAGTGGGGGGGTCGGGTTTCTAGTCTTCACCCGATGGGTAGGGGTGTTTTTTTTGCCACACTTCCCAGTTTTGTGCGTGCGTATGTGTGTGTGTGTGCGTGTGTAAAAAATCGGCGCGCAGCGCCGCCAAATTTGGTATAACCTATTAGGTAGGTATACCTACCTATACATCACTTGCGTAAAAATTATCACTGGTCACTTAAGGTCACGTCGCCATGTCAAGTTCAGTTATACGGTATACCTCTATAAAAACTTTCCCCTCTCGCCATTCTTGTAGCTTTTCTCCCATAACTTCGAAATTTGGTACACTGTATACTGTATAGGTACCTAATGTATGGGGTTATACGTGTCAGCAATTCATGATTCTAACTGAGGATTTACATCTATGATCTGAAGGCAGGTCAAATACGTGACCTCATCATTAGAAAATAATGAGAAATTAGAAAAAGCACGAATGCCTCCTGCTTTGAAAAAGTTCGACAGAAACGCAAAATACCTTTGGAGCCATGACAAATCAGCTCATCATTGCCAGGGACAGGGTGCAACTTATGGCGAGTGATGACTCGAAAGGTCATTAGTGGAAATGTCCATCGATGGCCACCAGCATTTTTTCCTACAACTTTTGACGAAGACGCGGTAGAGCGATGACAGCACCTGGAAGGTGTTCACTGTTCAGCTCAACAACACGGATCCATTCATATGCAGCAGGAGGTCCTTTTTCGATCAGGACATAACGTTGACCTGAGGTCGTTTTAACGTTAATTCTGAATGGTCAAATTTTAACTCATGTGACGCGTCTCAAAGAGATCAAGACGGTGGTGACAAGACAACATATGTACAGCCCTCAGCAGACTGCGTGGTAGGTATTCTTTATTCGACAAAACCGATAATAACTCAAAGGCTATGCTATCAGTCGGTCAGAACTCACTGCAAATAGATGCGCCATGCTCCACTCCTTCGATTAGGTCTATCACTTAACAAGGTAAACGCCTTGTGTGGCAACAAAATGCAAAAGTTTGTTTTGGGGGCAAATATAAACTTTTGGGTTTTGTTGCCGAACTAGATGGAAAATGAATACGGCGATGATGTCAATTTAAGGTGCGGAGTCTCGCGCGTCTTGCTGTCACGATTTCCGAATGACCAATAGCATAGTATTCGCGTTATGCTCGTTTTTGTCGAAAAAAGAATACCTACCACGCAGTTTGCAGAGGGCTGTACATACCATACAAATTCACGGAATCGAAAGTTATTGCAAAGCAGATGTTTCGACAGAATCTGTCCAGTTAGCTGTTTGCCTTCTTATGGGCCAAACATAGACCTGAGATGAAATCTAACGCGAAGCTAGCGAAAGAGCGTTAAAAGAGCTATCGAATAGTTTTCTGCTTCACTGTAGCCCTTCTATTGGTGGTTTCCCAGTCGCTAACGTATAACGTATACTAAACTAACGCTGAGGCATGCTTTCGACCCCTGATCGATCTACAGGTTTGCGGATAAAAGAGCATGCTGCCCGTGACGAGAGAAAGCCGATGATACCCATTTACAAGTTTTCGGGTCATCTCAGGACTCAGGTCATCGCCAATAAGTAGAGAAACTCGGGACCTGCTAGAACTTAACGAATGTAAGTTGTGATGGTTTTTCGAGGTTCTGATTACGAATGTTATCTTAGTTTTGAACGAAGATGATGACTCCATGCATTTGGGGTAGATCAGGTCAGGTCAGATCGACCAGTACCTAATAGTGGATGACCACCACCGATTGCTTCCTAGCATGTTTTATGAATAAGCAACACAACTACTTCTTAAATGTTCAGATGGGCGCTAAGTTCAAAATCAGCTCCAAAAACTACCCTATCAATTAAAAGCACGTTATGAAAAAGTGAACTAAGGTCATCTTTATTTGAATCAGGGATATCGATTTATTTTAAGTAGGTGATTTAACTCGAGCGCACCGGAAGTTGCAATCGGCTCCTTTTTGCGCGACTTCTTTGCGAAAGCCCGAGACGGTTCCATCTGACTCTCTTTCCCCTACATGTGCACTGTACAGCTAGTTGTGACGGTAGCCATGGGGCTGAGGCTAGTTTGTAGTTTTGTAGTTAGGTACTGATCCGACGAATCGACTGCGACCATTTTTTTAAAACGATCAGACGAACGCTCGGGGCAGTTTTGGCGCGTCCAATCCTTTGAGGGATAAAAAGGTACTAGGATGGGGGCTACTTAAAAACATTGTTGTGCTGGTGTTCCCCGCCCACAGCTAACTGACCTTTAGGTAATTGGCTAATTGGCTTTAGGGAGCTCTTGAAGTGATTTTGAATCTGATGTATTTGTTGGTGTTGCTGACTCCTGCTTCACTGACATAAAAGCTAAAAAAGCATATACTCAGCATCGCAAAAAGTGGGGGGGTCGACACCCCCAGTTTTCACGAGTGGGGGGGTCACGACCCCCCCGACCCCCCCGTCGGCGACGCCCCTGCAAGCGAAGACAATGCGGGGAGTCCGGTGCGGAACAGGCAAATGCTCACCATAGATATACCGACTGAACGATCCCTTTATAACTTCAGCGATTGATAAGACAAACAGTGTGTAACTGTATATATAAAATGTAAGTCTCGAAATTGCGATGTCTTTGACCTGACCAAAGGTAAGGACAATTTTGCGACCCTTTCATTAGGTATAATGAAATGGGAGGAAATCAGGGCATGTGCCTCTTTTTATAGGTAGACAAATGTCAAAGTTAACGAATTTAAACATAACATAAGAAAACAATTAAAAATGACACACTTAATCGGAAAATTGCCACCCACGACCCCTCGTTATGTCCTTGAGGATAATGTCAGGTCATGGAAGGCCTCCAGCAGTTTTTTTTTTCAATAACTTCTGATAGAGACATGCGATATGCCTGAGCGATGAAAACACCTTAGATGATTTCAGTTTGGCGATACAAATCGACTGATATGCAACATGACCTTTACCAGTCAGGTCATACCCTGGACCTGAGCGCTAATTTCCCAAATGACATTTGAATGTCAAATAATAGTTCATTCGACGCATCTCGACGAGAGGAGCACAGTACTAAAAAAAAAACAATGTCATAACTTTCGTGAGTCAATAATTATTACAGTAGAAAGGTTCCTCATTAAAACAGCTCAGTAGAGGGGCGGAGGGGGTCCACTGTCCCCTCGAACCCTCCCCGGCTCGGCACGGGTTAAACAAGTTGTGCTCTGGAGGTTAAGCCGTTGATGTTAGGTCAAGTCTGATGACTTTATAGGAATGTTGAAGAGCTATCGAATGCGCTTTTTCGCGGTGCTGTAGTTCTGTTCTTCCCCGAGTTATGCGCCAGTTTGTCAATAAATGTTGAAACAGACAACATTTCACCCACATTTCACCTTTGATGACCTCTGGTTACCTGATATTTGACATTTGACTTGACCTAACCAAAGTACGGTTAACCAACTAACCCAAGTAGTTTTTGACACTTTTTCGAATGCCGCTTACCGCGTGTCGCTAAGTGGCCCAGTAGCCAAGTTATAGGGGTCGGGCGGGGGGTTCAAACAGCCTCAGCCCGGCGTCGGTTAACCCTCGCCCAAGGCCCTATATACCCTCGCCCGCACATGCCATTTTCCCATCCTAGAACGCACATGGGGGTGGTTGCCACCCCCCCCCCTCGCCATTTCGTTCCTGTTGGAGATAGAGTTTAGCGGTAAAGACCAAAAAGATTCTTTGGGAAGAGACGAATCCAATGATACCCAGTTTTACCTTCTCAGGTCAGTCATTGATCTTCCAGGTCAGGTCAAACTAAAAAATGTTGCTGTTTTGGGTCACCGCTGGATATCAAGTGCGCTGCTTATCATATACCGATGACGATGCTGTTTTCTGGTGCCAAGCCAGCTAGAACCTCTTTGTCACACTACCCGACCAGATTTTTGCTGCTGAGGTCATTTCAGGTCAAGTTAGGTCAAGGTCAATTATATGTGTTTGTATGTCTGTGTGTGTCTGTGTGTATACTGATGTGTGCACCGATTGTTTTTGTGTCCATATTACACGAAATCATGATCTGAGAAGCTTTTACCAAAAATGCAGTCAAAAAAAAAAATCACAAGAAGTAAATTCAGCTTGCCTAAAACGCAATTATCTTAGATGACCTAGGTTGACCTTGACCCTGACCTTGACACCTGTACCTCGTCGAACAACATGTTCCATGATAGGTGGGAGGTAAGACTGGCAAAAAAGACCGAAATCAAGGTGTCAAAAGCTCACAAGGCCCATGGCAAACGCAAGATGTTGAGAATTGGCCATTTGGGTCATGACATGACCTGAAAAACAAGGTCATATCTCCGAAACCAAAAATCACAGAAACTTGAAATTTTCAGTGGACCTCAAGAAAGGATAGAGGAGCAGCTATACGAAAAAATCAGCCTTCTAGCTCTAAAAATGTTTAGTGCAGAGCAGAAAGACTACCTGGGGGGGTGGCAACCCCCCCCCCCATGTGCGGGCGAGGGTTAAGGGAAGGCACTATCATTTTGGGGGCGCAGCAGATATGCTAAGGGACGACAACATCATTTCGAGACGCGTCACCAATTTTTTTTAGGGCACTTTAACCACTTTGAGGGGCACCGTCGACACTGTGAGGAGCGCAATTATCTCGTTGAGCGTTGAGGGGTGGCACCATTACATTGAAGGGCGCCATGTGAGCAGTGATGTGGGGCAAAATGACAATGAGGAGCGCCTCCGATACTTAAAGAAGAGATGCCACCATTACTCGGGGGGGGGGGCAACATCACTTTTATTTTGAGGACGCCACCCACATTGTAAGGGGCGGCACTGTAACTTTAAGGAACGCCGCGGATACTTTAAGGGGCGGCTCCATCATATGGAGGGGCGCTACAGATCGTTAATGGACGGCAATAGGTATGATAGTTATTTAGGGACTCCGACACTTCGAAGGGCGCCACCGTTTGTTTGAGGGTGACATCATCACTTTGAGGGGCACCACCGATATTGTTCGGGGCGCCACCGACATTATAAGGGGCGCCACCGACACTGCCAGGAGCACTTTGACCGGCGTTACTATCACATTTAAGGGCGCCGTGAGCACATTGGGGGCGGCACCATGACGTGGAGGGGCGTTACGGAAGTTTTGAGGGGCGGCAACATGACATTGAGGAGCGCCTCCGACACTTCGAGGGACACCAGCATTTCTTTGAGGGGCGGCACCTTGACTTTTGAGGAGACACCACCGACACTGTAAGGGGCGGCACCATCACTTTGAGGGGCGCCACGGATGGTTTGAGAAGCGGCACCATTATGTATATGGAGGGGTGCTATAGAAAGTAAGAGGGCGGCAACATTGTATTGATGAGTTCCTCCAAAACTTTGAAGGGCGCCACAGACACTGTCAGGGGTGGCACCAGCACTTTTAGGGGCGGCAGCATCATTTTGAGGGGCGCCAACGACTCGTTGACAGGAGACACCATCACATTTAGGGGCGCCACTGGCACTTTGAGGGAGGCACCATCACATTGAGGGGCGCCACCGATACTGAAAGGGGCGGCATCATCTTCTTGAGGGGCGGCATCATCTGCTTGAGGGGCAGCTCCATCACAATGAGGGGCTATGTGGATACCTAGAGGGGCGGCACCATTATATTGGTGGGTTCCTCTGACACTTCGAAGAGCGTCACTGACACTATAAAGGGGCGGCACTAACACTTTTAGGGGCGGCAGCATCATTTTGAGGGGCGCCACCGACTCGTTGGCGGGCAGCACCATCACATTCAGGAGCGGCATCATCTTCTTGAGGGGCGGCATCATCTTCTTGAGGGGCGGCATCATCTTCTGGAGGGGCGGCATCATCTGCTTGAGGGGCGGCGCCAACACTTTAAGGGGCGGCAGCATCATTTTGAGGGGCGCCACCGACTCGTTGGCGGGCAGCACCATCACATTCAGGGGCGCCAACGGCACTTTGAGGGCGGCACCATCACATTGAGGGGCGCCACCGATACTGAAAGGGGCGGCATCATCTTCTTGAGGGGCGGTATCATCACATTGAGGGGCTCCACAGATGCTTAGAAGGGCGGCACCATTACATTGAGTGGGGCTACTAACATATTTAGGGGCGGCACTGTCACATTGAGTTGCGGGATCATCACTTTCTATAGACGGCTGCTTCACTTTAAGAGGCGGCATTATCATTTCGGAGGGCAGCAGCCTCACTATGAATGACGGCACCTAGCCTGCATGTGCGTGCTGCATCCTAGAGGGGGCGGCAACTGGGTCGGCAAACGGCTGTCACTGGGTCGGCATTCTCCGTGACTGGGTCGGCAATTGCCGACCCAGTTAACATGTTAAAATACGCCCTGGAGCGCACTAGACTGCACTCCTACACCTGAGAGGCAAAAATGCGAGGCATTCTCAGCGTTAACTCTCCGACGCCCCTTGCACTCCTGAGTTCTCACCTGAGGGGCGAAGGTGCGGGACATTCTCAGGGCCTCCGAGAATCCGGCCGTGTGCTGCGACAGGCCCAGCAGCGCCGGCGTGGTCAGGTACGGGTTCTCCATCTGCGGCACGGGGGAACGTCACTGCGCCGCCGGCGTTAGGTCACTGCGCGGCCGGGGCAGGTCACTGCCCTGAGTGCCCAGGCTAGGTCACTGAGCCACCAATATTAGAGCACCACCCTAAATGGCAGTTCGCTTTGGGCAGCACTACATTCTCAGGAAAGATTAGGCCACTGTGTCTTTCATGCCATTTTTTACAGTGATAGGTAAGAATAGTTCTTTCAGCTTATATCAATTTCGAGCAAGCAAACACCAGGGTCCTTGAAGGAAGATTTTTCACCTGGTATTTTTCTCATTTCAGCAACCACTCACATGATGAGGATCAAGTTAGAAAGCACCTTCCCCAAGGTTAAACCTGGGGCTTCCCCAATAATCAGAATTATTCCCAGAAGACATAGAATCAAAATTTGGGGTATCCTTTCCCCCTCATCTACAGCAATAAACAACAGCTGGAAGCCCCCAGCTCAAGTACTGCCTGAACACCAGGGTGATTTACACCAGCACCATGCTACTAAGGGTCGAAATTGCCTGTCCAGGACACCCAGGGCAAAGCAATCTCACTGGTGCATGCAGGCCATTGCAAGCTCATCCAATCATATTCTGCAAAATATCTAACAATCACCTGTAACCACCCTGTTGATCTCTTTAGCCACTGTGGCTGTACATTCCGAATGGAAACCAGAGATTCTTATAACCTTGAATCCATAGAAGTGCTAGGGAAACCAGCAACTCTCCCTACTTTACGATATCCTTAGAAGCTCCATACCAAATGTCCTGCTTCAGTACTGCATGAAAACTCAACTAGCAGTAGGCCACTCAGTCAAATTTAGTTTGAAAGATGCTTGAAAAAGAAGAGACTAATCATCAAGTGGCTAAAGCACAGCATGTCAAAATAATTTCCAACAAAGACTCAGACTGGTACCTAGGTGACAAGACTCCAACCCATGACAATGACCTGAATATGTTGAGGTTTTTGACAGTACAAACTGTAGGTAAGTTATATATTTTTCTCCTAGCCCTACAGCCATTTGCATGAAAAATATATGTCTATTAATAATAAATTAGTACCTATGAGTAAGAAAAATCTATAAAAGTATAAAATCAAAAACTCATACCTAATATCCAAAAGATTCTTTTTCCAAACAATCTTAACATCTCAATTGATCAATACTAAGAGTTCAGTAACACACTGATGCTGATGCTACAAGGAGAAACTTTGCTACTTCACCCTTAGTTTAGAATCAGTCTCAGCTGAATGAGGATATCACTTGAATATTGATGAAATAAAAATGGCAAACTCGGACTAGGTAGGTACCTGCAAGTCGCAACAGAAGACATCCTGTTTCAACCATGTTACGGTGCACTGACTGGCTATTCCAACCTGAACCGCATGCTTTTATCACCAAAGGATTGAAATGCTTACCCTTCCAGATGCGTTTGTTAGATTATTTTGCATTTCAGATTAAACGACTTAGCGAAATGCTAGAAATACTACATGAGACAAAAATGACGCATATGTTCGCCAGACCGGTATCTGATTACAGGCAGTTCGCTAGCATCTACTGCAACCACGATAACATGTCTTAGAAGACCAACTTTCAAAATGATACCAGCAGCATACTCCCACCACCACGACTCCCCAACGACTGACCGCCGGCACTCACTCACCCATCCTCCATGTCCTATTGTTTACATCGGGCGGAGCTTCGAGGTCACGGTGGCCGGCGCGAGGAGAGTATAAACAGATGCCAGATTAGAATACAACTAGAATCACCTAGTAGATAGTATACATTTTAGAGTGGGCACTTTAGCGGGTGAAATGGCTCCCGTTTCGCGTTAGTCTCCTTGTACAATTCGCATGAATCAGGGCGTATTTTAACATGTTAACTGGGTCGGCAATTGCCGACCCAGTCACGGAGAATGCCGACCCAGTGACAGCCGTTTGCCGACCCAGTTGCCGCCCCCTCTAGGATGCAGCACGCACATGCAGGCTAGGTGCCGTCATTCATAGTGAGGCTGCTGCCCTCCGAAATGATAATGCCGCCTCTTAAAGTGAAGCAGCCGTCTATAGAAAGTGATGATCCCGCAACTCAATGTGACAGTGCCGCCCCTAAATATGTTAGTAGCCCCACTCAATGTAATGGTGCCGCCCTTCTAAGCATCTGTGGAGCCCCTCAATGTGATGATACCGCCCCTCAAGAAGATGATGCCGCCCCTTTCAGTATCGGTGGCGCCCCTCAATGTGATGGTGCCGCCCTCAAAGTGCCGTTGGCGCCCCTGAATGTGATGGTGCTGCCCGCCAACGAGTCGGTGGCGCCCCTCAAAATGATGCTGCCGCCCCTTAAAGTGTTGGCGCCGCCCCTCAAGCAGATGATGCCGCCCCTCCAGAAGATGATGCCGCCCCTCAAGAAGATGATGCCGCCCCTCAAGAAGATGATGCCGCTCCTGAATGTGATGGTGCTGCCCGCCAACGAGTCGGTGGCGCCCCTCAAAATGATGCTGCCGCCCCTAAAAGTGTTAGTGCCGCCCCTTTATAGTGTCAGTGACGCTCTTCGAAGTGTCAGAGGAACCCACCAATATAATGGTGCCGCCCCTCTAGGTATCCACATAGCCCCTCATTGTGATGGAGCTGCCCCTCAAGCAGATGATGCCGCCCCTCAAGAAGATGATGCCGCCCCTTTCAGTATCGGTGGCGCCCCTCAATGTGATGGTGCCTCCCTCAAAGTGCCAGTGGCGCCCCTAAATGTGATGGTGTCTCCTGTCAACGAGTCGTTGGCGCCCCTCAAAATGATGCTGCCGCCCCTAAAAGTGCTGGTGCCACCCCTGACAGTGTCTGTGGCGCCCTTCAAAGTTTTGGAGGAACTCATCAATACAATGTTGCCGCCCTCTTACTTTCTATAGCACCCCTCCATATACATAATGGTGCCGCTTCTCAAACCATCCGTGGCGCCCCTCAAAGTGATGGTGCCGCCCCTTACAGTGTCGGTGGTGTCTCCTCAAAAGTCAAGGTGCCGCCCCTCAAAGAAATGCTGGTGTCCCTCGAAGTGTCGGAGGCGCTCCTCAATGTCATGTTGCCGCCCCTCAAAACTTCCGTAACGCCCCTCCACGTCATGGTGCCGCCCCCAATGTGCTCACGGCGCCCTTAAATGTGATAGTAACGCCGGTCAAAGTGCTCCTGGCAGTGTCGGTGGCGCCCCTTATAATGTCGGTGGCGCCCCGAACAATATCGGTGGTGCCCCTCAAAGTGATGATGTCACCCTCAAACAAACGGTGGCGCCCTTCGAAGTGTCGGAGTCCCTAAATAACTATCATACCTATTGCCGTCCATTAACGATCTGTAGCGCCCCTCCATATGATGGAGCCGCCCCTTAAAGTATCCGCGGCGTTCCTTAAAGTTACAGTGCCGCCCCTTACAATGTGGGTGGCGTCCTCAAAATAAAAGTGATGTTGCCCCCCCCCCCGAGTAATGGTGGCATCTCTTCTTTAAGTATCGGAGGCGCTCCTCATTGTCATTTTGCCCCACATCACTGCTCACATGGCGCCCTTCAATGTAATGGTGCCACCCCTCAACGCTCAACGAGATAATTGCGCTCCTCACAGTGTCGACGGTGCCCCTCAAAGTGGTTAAAGTGCCCTAAAAAAAATTGGTGACGCGTCTCGAAATGATGTTGTCGTCCCTTAGCATATCTGCTGCGCCCCCAAAATGATAGTGCCTTCCCTTAACCCTCGCCCGCACATGGGGGGGGGGGGTTGCCACCCCCCCAGGTAGTCTTTCTGCTCTGCACTAAACATTTTTAGAGCTAGAAGGCTGATTTTTTCGTATAGCTGCTCCTCTATCCTTTCTTGAGGTCCACTGAAAATTTCAAGTTTCTGTGATTTTTGGTTTCGGAGATATGACCTTGTTTTTCAGGTCATGTCATGACCCAAATGGCCAATTCTCAACATCTTGCGTTTGCCATGGGCCTTGTGAGCTTTTGACACCTTGATTTCGGTCTTTTTTGCCAGTCTTACCTCCCACCTATCATGGAACATGTTGTTCGACGAGGTACAGGTGTCAAGGTCAGGGTCAAGGTCAACCTAGGTCATCTAAGATAATTGCGTTTTAGGCAAGCTGAATTTACTTCTTGTGATTTTTTTTTTTTGACTGCATTTTTGGTAAAAGCTTCTCAGATCATGATTTCGTGTAATATGGACACAAAAACAATCGGTGCACACATCAGTATACACACAGACACACACAGACATACAAACACATATAATTGACCTTGACCTAACTTGACCTGAAATGACCTCAGCAGCAAAAATCTGGTCGGGTAGTGTGACAAAGAGGTTCTAGCTGGCTTGGCACCAGAAAACAGCATCGTCATCGGTATATGATAAGCAGCGCACTTGATATCCAGCGGTGACCCAAAACAGCAACATTTTTTAGTTTGACCTGACCTGGAAGATCAATGACTGACCTGAGAAGGTAAAACTGGGTATCATTGGATTCGTCTCTTCCCAAAGAATCTTTTTGGTCTTTACCGCTAAACTCTATCTCCAACAGGAACGAAATGGCGAGGGGGGGGGGGTGGCAACCACCCCCATGTGCGTTCTAGGATGGGAAAATGGCATGTGCGGGCGAGGGTATATAGGGCCTTGGGCGAGGGTTAACCGACGCCGGGCTGAGGCTGTTTGAACCCCCCGCCCGACCCCTATAACTTGGCTACTGGGCCACTTAGCGACACGCGGTAAGCGGCATTCGAAAAAGTGTCAAAAACTACTTGGGTTAGTTGGTTAACCGTACTTTGGTTAGGTCAAGTCAAATGTCAAATATCAGGTAACCAGAGGTCATCAAAGGTGAAATGTGGGTGAAATGTTGTCTGTTTCAACATTTATTGACAAACTGGCGCATAACTCGGGGAAGAACAGAACTACAGCACCGCGAAAAAGCGCATTCGATAGCTCTTCAACATTCCTATAAAGTCATCAGACTTGACCTAACATCAACGGCTTAACCTCCAGAGCACAACTTGTTTAACCCGTGCCGAGCCGGGGAGGGTTCGAGGGGACAGTGGACCCCCTCCGCCCCTCTACTGAGCTGTTTTAATGAGGAACCTTTCTACTGTAATAATTATTGACTCACGAAAGTTATGACATTGTTTTTTTTTTTAGTACTGTGCTCCTCTCGTCGAGATGCGTCGAATGAACTATTATTTGACATTCAAATGTCATTTGGGAAATTAGCGCTCAGGTCCAGGGTATGACCTGACTGGTAAAGGTCATGTTGCATATCAGTCGATTTGTATCGCCAAACTGAAATCATCTAAGGTGTTTTCATCGCTCAGGCATATCGCATGTCTCTATCAGAAGTTATTGAAAAAAAAAACTGCTGGAGGCCTTCCATGACCTGACATTATCCTCAAGGACATAACGAGGGGTCGTGGGTGGCAATTTTCCGATTAAGTGTGTCATTTTTAATTGTTTTCTTATGTTATGTTTAAATTCGTTAACTTTGACATTTGTCTACCTATAAAAAGAGGCACATGCCCTGATTTCCTCCCATTTCATTATACCTAATGAAAGGGTCGCAAAATTGTCCTTACCTTTGGTCAGGTCAAAGACATCGCAATTTCGAGACTTACATTTTATATATACAGTTACACACTGTTTGTCTTATCAATCGCTGAAGTTATAAAGGGATCGTTCAGTCGGTATATCTATGGTGAGCATTTGCCTGTTCCGCACCGGACTCCCCGCATTGTCTTCGCTTGCAGGGGCGTCGCCGACGGGGGGGTCGGGGGGGTCGTGACCCCCCCACTCGTGAAAACTGGGGGTGTCGACCCCCCCACTTTTTGCGATGCTGAGTATATGCTTTTTTAGCTTTTATGTCAGTGAAGCAGGAGTCAGCAACACCAACAAATACATCAGATTCAAAATCACTTCAAGAGCTCCCTAAAGCCAATTAGCCAATTACCTAAAGGTCAGTTAGCTGTGGGCGGGGAACACCAGCACAACAATGTTTTTAAGTAGCCCCCATCCTAGTACCTTTTTATCCCTCAAAGGATTGGACGCGCCAAAACTGCCCCGAGCGTTCGTCTGATCGTTTTAAAAAAATGGTCGCAGTCGATTCGTCGGATCAGTACCTAACTACAAAACTACAAACTAGCCTCAGCCCCATGGCTACCGTCACAACTAGCTGTACAGTGCACATGTAGGGGAAAGAGAGTCAGATGGAACCGTCTCGGGCTTTCGCAAAGAAGTCGCGCAAAAAGGAGCCGATTGCAACTTCCGGTGCGCTCGAGTTAAATCACCTACTTAAAATAAATCGATATCCCTGATTCAAATAAAGATGACCTTAGTTCACTTTTTCATAACGTGCTTTTAATTGATAGGGTAGTTTTTGGAGCTGATTTTGAACTTAGCGCCCATCTGAACATTTAAGAAGTAGTTGTGTTGCTTATTCATAAAACATGCTAGGAAGCAATCGGTGGTGGTCATCCACTATTAGGTACTGGTCGATCTGACCTGACCTGATCTACCCCAAATGCATGGAGTCATCATCTTCGTTCAAAACTAAGATAACATTCGTAATCAGAACCTCGAAAAACCATCACAACTTACATTCGTTAAGTTCTAGCAGGTCCCGAGTTTCTCTACTTATTGGCGA